GGAGAAAAAAATGAGATAAACCATTCCACATTTTCTTTAAATATACAAGGAATATACTTTAGTTTAAAGTCTTTGTTGAAATCTTGATCAAGATGAGTTGAAGATATGTTGATCTAGTGACTGAAATTGAGGTCCAAGATTCTAAGCCCTCTCTCCCTCCTAGCTTCTCAAATCCCAAACCCCCTCTAGTGCTTCAATGGCGGACCCATCAGGTTATCTGGGAATCCTACATAGAGCTGTTAAACGAGCCGAGTCGAGCTCGAGCATAGGACAATCGAGCTCGACTCGAACCCCTAATCGAGCTAGCTCGAGCTCGCTCGATTAGTCATTCGAGCTCTACAAGGCGCTCGAACTCGACTCGATGTGTTGATAGAAAACTCGAGCTCGGGCTCGAGCTCGAATTTTGAAATCGAGCCGCCGAGCTCGAAGCTCGAACTCGAGCTCGCGAAAAACTCGAGTCGAGCTTTTCGAGCTCGAAGCTCGAGCTCGAGCTCGCGAAAAACTCGAGCTCGAAGCTCGAGTTCGAGCTCGTTTACGGGAGAGCCCATATCACAAGAAAATACACTTTCTCTGATTTATTATTTGAAGCCAAAATGACAATACAAGCCATGCCAAATGACAATACTCGTATTTCCCTGATTCAATTCAACAAGCCATGCCTCAATCACAATACAAGGCAGAGTCTAAAGTTAAAACTACAGCAAAAACCATCAAATGGAGAAACAAAATGTCCACAGGGGGATTACAATGTCCAAACCACATCAAATTACAAGAAGTTTAAACTGCAGCAAGAAGTTAAAACTACACCAAATGACAATACAAGAAGTTAAAACTTCATCTACTTGTTGTCCTCCTTCATTGCCATCATCTTCTATTATTTCTATTTCTTCTTCACTCATCTCATCAGCTCTTTCTTCGTTGTAATTCAATTGTTCCACGTCTTCATTATTTTGCTCCATCGTAGGACTTGATGATGAACCTTGAAATGAGTTGAATGGAGAGCTGTACATTCCTTAATCAAAAACATTTAATAACCACTACAGAATCTGATTAGTTAAAACAGAAATTTAGAATAACATTTCTAAGAAATAAGGTATAAAAGTAATAAAACAGATTTCAAAAAATAATGCCCACTTCAAGCTAAAAAAAATAATGCTAAGAAAGTCTGCACTTCAAGCTAATTTTATCACAACTGCAGACTTAACCATTAAATCAACTAAATCATCACCATTAGTTACGAACTTGCAAATTAGGGGAATCAACCACTGAAACAAATATGATGCAACAGTTAATTTTCTATAGCATTGTACCAAAAAGAATTCGAAAAGGTTTAAGGAAAGCTCCAGTGAAGAGAATGGGATATAAAACAGATTTACATACAAAAAATAAAATAAAATAAAAAACTTCAAAAATTGTGAAAAAAATCATAATGCTAGAGACTAATAAAGATCAAATATTATATATTGCAACCATTCAACAAATAGACCCTACTTATGGGACAGTCATACAATCACAGGGGCTTAAGCTGCACAGGCAAACCATATAGAACTAATGATAAGTTGACCAGGAAAACAGGAACTCTCATGAAAAATCCAACGAAATCAACCTCAAAGTTGTGTATGCACTTCAACCAAATTAATGATTTTCAATACTCGTAAACAAGGCATTTGGATTCCTCTCAATTTGTCAATCATTTACAAATGGTTCTATGAACATAAAAACCTGTGCCAGGGCCTGCCAACATGGAACCATCTCCCAAAACAGCAATGCATACTATTGCTGATCTTAGATTGGACCTCTTGATGCCACACCATATCTGTTAGGACCATAAGCAAAGATTGTCCAACAGCTTCTTCCCAAGGATGACAGAATTCAGTTACATGCACTTTAAAGTTGCATACTAAACCTACGTACCAGAGGATCACAAAATTCAAGTATAAAATGAAATTCACACAAAATACCAGTACCAGTGGTATGTAAGTTGATGACTACAAAAACAGATTGCATGCATCCGTTTTTACATGACTGAACAATAACAGTACCTGTTCTTACATGACTGAACAATAACAGTACCTGTTTTACATGACTTCAAAATTATCCTACTCATGTTAGGGGTTAGCATTTTTGTATTTTCAGAGACCCTATCCAAAGTTACTCCCCCAATTCAAAGAATTTCAGACTCTCTTGCAATTACTCATGCACTATTAAGCTGCATCTGTATATTAGCATAACACCAGAGAAGCCTAAGCAGTATGTCTCTCATAATATAACATAAAAAGGTTTGCTGATACACAACAAAGTCACTTAGTACCTGCAATTCACTAAAACTTTTGCACGAAGAGTACTTTAAAGTATCAAGATGTCACTAATTTCAACCACGGCAAATAATTATCAAAACATCAAGGCTACGATAAAAAACCATCAAGGCTACTTACCAGAATGCAGTGAATCGGGGTATGGTAGAGGGCCCTGGTGGCTGGCTCTACCGAGATGGCTCCGTATGGTGGCTGCGGCAGTGGAACGGGAAAGAGATGTCAGAAATGGAGGCTACGGGGTGCGGCGGCGTGAGACTGGAGGCTACGGGGTGCGGCGTGCGAATGGAGGCTACGGGGTGCGGCGGCGGCTGTGGAATGGGAAAATAGATGACAGAAAGGGGAAATCAAAAAATTAGGGATGGCTGGTGGTGAGAATGGAGGCTGAGGGATGCGGCGTCACCGGCGTGAGAATGGAGGTTGAGGGATGCGGCGTGCGGTGGTGTGAGAATGGAGGCTGCGGGGTGAGTCGGGTGATGGCTGTAGGAGGAGAAAACGAAAGACCAATTGAGGAAAGAATGAATTAGGGCTACAGACAGACGGACCCTTTGAATAGATTACCATTTACCACATACACGTGGAAATGACGAAAATGCCCTTATTTTTCGAGCCTACCGAGTTTAAACGAGCCGAGTCCGGCTCGGCTCGTTTATTAAACGAGTACCTATTAGAGCTCGAGCTCGGCTCGTTTCTCTCTGTTAACGAGCCGAGCCGAGCTCTTATCGAGCCGGGTCGAGCTCGGCTCGCGAGCTGCCCGGTTCGATTAACAGCTCTAATCCTACATTTTAAATTTTTAGCAAGCTTTCTTCAATGGCAGCCCTTCAGCCATTGACTGGAGGGCACCCGGCAAATCTTCCTTCACCAGAAAAAAGCTTTTCAGAAGTGTTTTCAGATTCTACTTCTTCACCTATTACCCTGAAAACAGGTCGCTTCACATAGAGGAGAATCGGCGAACTCTCTTTTCCAAGGAGGATATTCAGAAACTGTCTGCTCCTTTAAAATTTGTCCCTAGTTGGTAAGTTCTCGGATCGTAGACCAAAGACTGATGATGCTCCAAAATATTTTCAAGCTCCTGATTTGAAGAATGCCTTTACAATCGGTCATCTGGAATCAGATTTTACATGTGCCTTTACATGCCTTTCAAATCAGATTGAAGAATCTGATTTGAAGAATGCCTTTACATGTGCTCGCTCATTCATTTTCATGATGAATCAGATTTTCACCTTATTTGGACGCGGGGTTTGTGGCAAGTTGGGAACAACTCTCCAATGAGGGGTGTTTCGCTGGGATTTCATGCTGCTCCTGAATCCTTTTTAGCTCTGCTCCGGTGTGGTTCTCTTTGCCGGGGTTGCCAGTACATCTTTTTGATAAGAGGCGTCTTTGTTCAATTGTTTCGCCAATTGGTCGCCCATTATTTGCGGATACAGCCAGCTTCTGCAAATTTAACACGACCTGATGTTGCTCGCATTTGTCGCATAAACGAGTGTGGCTTGGGATTGAAGGGGAGACGGCTGGGTTTTGGCAGAAAATTAAACCTGAAAACTTGCCTTCGTACTGTTCAGAGTGTTGGCGTCAAGGGCATTCAACAGATTGACAAACTAAGGCCCCGTTTGGAAGGTGAGTTTTTTGGGTGTTTGTCTAAAACTTTACTGTAGATTACTGTAGAAGTTGTAAGAAAAATTTTGAGGATGAAAAACTTTTTTTTTCTTTTTCCTTTTTTTTTCTTTTTCTTTTTCTTTCTTTCTTTCTTTTTTCTTTTCTTTCCTCCCTTCTTCTTCTCCCCTTCCCCTCCCCCTCCCCCGGCACCTCTGCCTCTGACGAGAAACCAGCAGCCATCCTGCAATTTTTTTTCCTTTCTCTGCCCTCTTCTCCCTCTCCCTCTCTCCCTCTCCTTTCCCCTCCCCCTCGCCCTCCGAAGCCAGAGCTTGCAGCCATGGATTTTTTTTTTTAGCTTTTTCTCTACCCCTCCCCTCCCCTAGGTGCAAATCCTTGCTGTTCTTTTGATTTAATCTCTAACTTGCTGTCCAAATTCAAAAGGTTCGTGGACAAAGTTTCCAAGTCTGGTGGACTTGGACCACTATTTCCTTCGTAGTTCAAAAAATCGAATATGTATTAGTAGTGAATCAATGAGGCTTGGTTTGCTGTCTGTCTGCTCTTGTTTGGTCATTTGGTTGACTAATATCCTTAGGCACATCGCTTGCTTGTATGGCTCTTAACGGCAAATTGACGGAAATTGGATTCTGGGATGAAATTTACGCTAAAAGAGCCATTTCAGACCTGACCGCAGAAAACCTGTGCTAGTGGCATACTGTTCTCTCTCTCTCTCTCGGGTATGGAAAGGTGTCACTGCACGACCAGATCGCAGCCCCCCTCCCCCAGATCGCAGCTAGCGGGAGGGGGAGGGGGAGGGTGGCGGGGGAGGGAGAGGGGAAGAGGGGAGGGGAGGAGAGGAGGAGAGGGGGTGCGGGAGAGGGAAAGGAAAAAAAAAAAAAAAAAAAAAAGGAAGGCTGGCACTGAATCAGTGCCGGAATAGGTGTCGGCGCTGGGAGTGGTGGTGGCTGGCGACGGAGGACACGATGGGTCGGGTGAGGGTAGAAAAAAAAGAAAGGTTAGAAGGGAAATTTTTTGTGTATTAGAAAAGTTGAAGAAAAAAATTTTTTAAGTGGGTAGGTTAAAAACTTTACTAAGTTTTTTGAGGTTCCTGTAGCAAAAGTTGTTAAAAAACTAGTAGCATACAAACTTGTAAAAAACTTGGGGTCCCAAACAGGGCCTAAGTAGATTAAGCAAAACAAGATTGCAAAAATTAATCAAGAAATAAAAAATATATATAAACCTGATTTATTCACCACTGCCACTACTCTATCAGTCTCATCGAACAAAGGAACGCCCTGGTACACTTTTAGATCTTCACAATTAACAACTGCTAGCCTCAAAGAATGGAAAGCTGGAACAATGGATGAAAACCACAAAGTGCCCATGAAGATTTGGCCTCATTTATCTGCCGTAGACAAGAAATAATAGACTAAAATGGGTAGCTGGAAAAATGTTCTCAACGCCATATAAAACTTTAATTAATTGAATCAAGTCAACAGATATTTATCAATGCAGTTACCATCTGTTTAAGTGGTGAGACAATCTCCATTTGCAAACGCAAAAGAAAAACCTGAGCAAGTTGCACATGAATCAGTTTCTTCTCCTGTTGAGCATTCATGCTTTTGTTCCTTCAGTTCAATAAGTACCCTTCCAATCCTGAAAAATTGCAATCAGAAATTCAATATGAGAAATAGTTCCACAGCATAGATCGAATCAATCTACAAAACAAGAGCTTTTCTTAGCTGCCGATACCATGTTTATTGGTATCCTGAATGAAATTCAAACAAAAAATGAATATTACTTAGATGAGAAAGGAGATTAGAAGTGGAAGTCACCACGTCCCCAATCCATCCAGCCACAAAGCGAAAAGCAAGTTAATAGAGACAAGTTTCGCTAAAGCGTCCAAAAGTACTGCATCTCATATATTTCCCAGTGAAGGTCATATGCAAAATGAATGCAACCTAATGCTCCACAACCTAAAATGAAGTTGACACTAAAACCTAATGCTCCACAAAAGTACATTCACTCTCAAGCATGTCATATTCTGTTGAAATCACACTAACATCTTAACATGAGATAAAGATTTGTAGCTACTAGCCTTGTTTCTCACTACATAAGCTGTAACACTCTCAAACTAAAACACTTGGCAGAAGCCGCAGATGCATGCATTTATGAGTGTGGAAGATAACTAATGTGCAATTAGATTTGTTTCATCTTCAAGTAAAAATAGCTATACCTTGGGGACAAGGGGTTGTCTTTTGCAAAACAAGTCATGGGGTTTTCTTCTTCCCCTGAATATAGCACATTTGCCTGACATTCTAACAGTTGCACCAAAAGGTAGAAAGCAGTATACCCGCTATATCCTGTATCTACCACAAAAGCAGAATTATGATTGATAATTAGAAGAACTGAATTCAAACACAAAATTTATTAAAAAAATTGATATATACCACCGGAAAGGTCATAAAAAATCAACACCCCAATTAGAAATCAATCAAACTCAAAATAGGAAAAAAAAAAAAAAGAAATCTTTGAGCATGCCATTACAGAAGTGCTCACAATCCCGACAACAAACCAAGATTCCAACAAAAGGAATAAAACAAAATTTAGAGGAAGTAACAAATCTGAGTAGTCTCGCCAAGATGCATGCATACCTCCAAAACTTATTCAGCATTGACGAAGAGATTATCATCGTCATTATTCTTGCTGGATTTGTATGACGTGTCTGTGAAAGTGAATGACAGGTGGTTCAATTGAGGAGAAGAGGTGGAAGAATTACTGGAAAATTGATGATGACAGGTGGGAAGTTTTCAATATCGGCTCTCTGCACTCTGTTGTTGTCCCAGAGGAACACTTGGAGCTGTCAGAGATGAAGACAATGGCACCACCATGCTTCGTCTACACAGGAAAGTGTATGCAAAGGAAGAGATATAATTCATGGATAATTGGGAATCGAAGGGAGAGGTAGAGTGATGGCAATGGAAGGCTACAGAAGAGAGTGGAATAATGGCAGTATTGCCGGGACGTCTCTCAAATTCACAGTGAAAGTAGTGAAAATTACAAGATGATCAGTCCATTTGACTTATTAAACACCATTGAAATTACAAGAATTTACTCAATAACCAGCCATTTTTAACCGTAGCAATAAACAATTCCCACTTTTTTATGTGAAAGATTTGATTGTATTGATAACAAAACAGTACAATAGTAACTTTTAAAATATTTGCCAATACTATTTCTTTTTTCTCACAAGATTTCTTGTAGAGTTGGCAGTATTGTTACGACAACTTATTCATCTTTTGCACGTTATGAAGTTTGAATACTATTTTCTATTGATTTATTCATGCAAATTGTCTTCTACAACTATGTTGTGACCATTAGTACAACTGATTTGATGAAATTTCAGATAATTATTCAGATGAGTGGTAGTTTTACCATATTTGACAATTACTTTTTTTTTTTTGAAAAAGATTTAACAATTACTATTAATGGAAAACAATACAGCCGTAATTAATGATGACTTGACTGTTCATAGTAATAGCCTCAAGATCAAAAACCCTCCTAACTCCAGAAAAGCCAACCACACCTTTAAGATCCTGTCTAAATTGTCTGTCCAAGTCCTCTGCCTAATATAACTAGGGGATTAGGCCCCGCCTAGGAGTAGGTGCCTAAGTTCAGCGTGGTTGCTAAAGTTATTTTGGACCTAATTTGTTTGATAAGGTACAAAAAATTTAAGAAAGCAGTAAGTACTATACATAAAAATTTGAAAGTAAGAACATATTGTTTCAAATAATCCATGTAGAATCAAGCACACTGTTTCCTTCAATAGGGGAATCTGGCACAAAGGAAACTAATGAAATCAAGAATGGATATTTGGATTGAGATGAAGAAGAAAACTACATCCTTAGCTAATTAAGGTATGCTATATCTTCATACTATACTACTCCAAATGCATTTATCATGAGCGTTGAGCTTTTGCTAGAATTAGAAGTAAAAAAGTTACAAACGGAATCTGCTCACTGCTGGCCTGTTTTGATCTCAAACAAATCTCTTCCTTCTTTACACACAAATGGAAAATTTCCCTCCAACTTCTATACAAAACTATTTCGTTCTGTAACTCAGCTAATCATGGTGATGAGATATATATATATATATATATTCTTTGCAACTTAGTTGAATTTAGCTATGTTATGCATTTAATGACTTGTATATTTGAATTTAGCCATATTGTGTATACAAATACCTAGCTACTTAATCCCGCCTTGCCAACTGGTTGAAAAACTTTCTTAAACCTATGCGAGAAAATGCTAAAGCCACAATTAGATCATAAAATATATATCCTCCTGAAACAATTATTACCTGTTTGAAACCGAAAGAGATCGAAATTAAACCATTAACTTCGATGCATATAAATAAAACCTAATACAATAAATCTTAAAAGAAGGAAAATTAGAATTATTAGGCAAGAGGATGAAAATAAATGATTTCTTTAGCAGAAACAAAGATCTAATTCACCTTCTCTTTGGCTTCTTAGAGAATGAATCAAATCATCCATTGAATTTGTTTGGAAACATATGTGCCGTTTTGGAAGATGACTTGAACCTGTTTGACAAATGCACTAAGAGAAAATTGCATAGACAACTAACTTTGGCCAAGAAATTAAGGTCAGAATCAATATATTGGAAACAAAACTAGAATTTATGACATGAATAAGGAAAATCCTACTCTAAGTGACTTATGACTAACATGGCAGGCTTATCATGGGTAGTATATCTAGATTTTGAGATGAGATATTAACAACTTTATTTGAAATCACAATCTCTGCAAAATTGAATCAACATGATTGTAACCTCTGGCAATATATTACATGCTCAATCAGAAAATCGTAAGGGGTCGCCCTACTATTGCAGAAGTTCAACTTGCACATGAAGATGTAGCAGTACACAGGTTTCATTTCCATTGTTTATTTTTATTTTTATTTATATTTTAAATGTGCTAAGTTGACCTTCAAAGTAGACAAAATTTCAATGGCGTCTTAACTCCAAGCATGCGCACAATATGGAAGAATAATACTTTCTGAGCTAAACTTGAACTCAACGTGGAACTTATTCTACCTTGATAAAGCTTAAGTTCAATCTGGAGACATCTGTACAAGGTCTCGTTGAAATCTTCACCCTAGGGTACCAAAATAAAATTTTAACATGAGCAAGAAGACTTGTTCTTCTTAACCAAAAAACATGCAACTGTCATTGTCTTTGCAACAGACGACCCCATCGCTCATTTGTGCATGCATTAACAAAATCATACAAATAAAAAATCTGCACAGAACAGCTATATGACAGATCAACGAAAGATTGCTTCTCGATGTTTTTTATAGGTCACTAAATAGTTTGCTTTTTCCACAACTAAAAGAGATACTCCATCAATTTTAAGCATGACATACTTAACGAGGACATGGTCAGTAGAGCCACAGAAATTGTTCCCAAAATTGATTGAAGAAATTAGCCTTAATCACTTCAGCTGAATTCTTTTACATAAAATTCGACAAAAAGTTTTTCTCTGCTTTTTAATACCTAATTGATTGTTTCAATGCAGTCTTATCTGACATGAAATCTTCACACTCCATACAAACTTTCACCTTCCTCCTGCTCTCCAGGAAAGAACAAGAATAAGAAAAAGAAACAACAGATATGCAACTTGCCAGACTAGAACAGAGTGTACTATTAACATTTTGATTAGACACTAAGGCGCTTTTCTTTTTCTTTATTATTTTGACCATTGCAGACGGGAACCTAACAGAAGTTCAACGAATTGGTATACTTGTGCAACAAACACCAATTCTTTAGTTATTATTGCAATTTAGCAACAATCTAATGCTAAAAGTAAAGAATTCATTATCAGGAAGTTTATTTTAGATGAACTAAACAATCGAGTAAATGTATTTATCAGGATAACAATAAGAAAAGAATGGAGAGTTTCTTGGACAGATTAGTGCAACTAATTTAAGAAAAAGATATTTTTGCCAGATTCCTACCAGTAACTATACAATTTAATACAGCATTGACATCAATTTTAAATAATAAAAGCTCAATGAGTTCTTATACTGATAAAACTGTTGCAAGATTACCAATGCCTACAAATTAAAGGCTTTAAAGCTTCACTAATAAGGATCCTTGTGTAGTCTAATTGATAGTTAAAAGTGATTAGAATACATTTTCTGGATTACACTTGAAAAGTTAGCCTTCAATCAAATGCAGTGACAGAAGTCAACAACCAAGACCCTCCATGGGACCTCAAAATTTTAACCCAAACCAAGATACTGGTCCAAAAATTTTTTACACTTTTAAACTGGCTGCACCTTTGGTTCCATTTAGGAATTGCAACAAAAGTGACAAATTTATTCTACTTACAAGAAAAAATTTCCTCCAGATTATTGAAAAGGGAAATTTGCCAAATTGGTCCCTCACAAAACTTTTTTAGTCCCTAACATTTAAAATTAGCCACAATAGTCCTTCAAATATAAAAAGATCTACCCGATTGGTCCCAAAGTTCATTCTTGCTTGGTTCTCCAGCCAAAAACTGCACACCTCTCTTACGCGCTCATAATTTCAAGAACAAAAATGGAAACATACTTCATTTTCTATTTGTTTTAAAAAAAAAAAATAAGAAATTGTAAGCCACCAAACCCTTTCTTCCCCCTTTTCCCTATTTTTTTAGCTGCCAAACCCCTACTGATTAAAAACCTGAGGAGCCCTTAAACTATCACCGTTGTCAAATTTTGACCCCCGATCTAATTTTTGTCTCTGATGAGCCCCTAAACAATAAAAAATGCATAGTTTAAGTGCTTCCGGTCATTTTATATGTGAGTCAAGCCGGAAGCAAATGGTATTATTGTCCAACCATATTTGAAGTATCAAGAAAAGTATCTCTCTCTCTCTCTCCAGCTAATTATTTCGTCTACAGGTTAAAGTAATAGTTGAAGTAGCAGGAGCTGGATTTTTTATTATTATTATTACTCAAACATCTATAGTTATTTTATCATCCACCAAATCCAGACAATCAACATCAATAGCTTGTTCCTTTTTTTTTTTTATTTCAAAAGCTTAAAGTGAGCTGCAAAAGGAAGACAACAATTCAACTTGTCTGCTCACAACTTCAATGCTTGCAAAACATGAAGAGATCCAAAAATTCACCGATAGGCCATAATGCTTCCTAAGTTAGATTGTTAATTAGGAGTAGAAGAAGAGGATAGCATATCCATGGGCTTCTTGTCCCTTCTTTCCGTGGCCACATCCCAAATGTCGTTATCGATGTGCTTCGACCAGCCATGGGTGGCTTTGTGGATAAAGTCCTGAGCATTCCCCATCACGAAAAGCATACCAACTATGATTTCCAATGGTAGAAATGCTTCCAATACCACCCATGCCATTTCCGCTACCACCACCACCAAGATGCTTGATTGTTTGGGTTGCTAGTCACTGTGTTGTTCCCCACACTGCTGGTAGAGCTTTTGCTTGCAGAGGTTGGATTCTATCTTTAGGTACAAGGAGATTATTGGTAAAGGGTTCAAGGTGAAGATGGTCTAATGCTTTTTCATTAGAAATCTGTCTAATGGATCTAAAAAGGTTCAAGGTGAAGATCTGATGCTTTTTTTTGTTAGAATTCTTGTCTAATGGATCTAATGCTAATTCTGGTCCTGATGTTTCAATTATAGTTGGACGAAATTGCCCTTTACTTCCGGCTTGACTTTGGTTTAAAATGACAGGAAACACTTAAACTATGCATTTTTAATTGTTTAGGGGCTTATCGGAGACAAAATTAGATCGGGGACCAAAACTTGACAATGGTGATAGTTTAAGGTCTCCCTAGGCTTTTTACTCAAACCCTAATTGTAATCAGAAAACCCCGAATCAAAGAAGAAAATTTCAATATGATCACCTACAAGTAAAAGAAGAAAATCAAGAAAAGACATCTAAGAAACTCAGCCATTGAAGAGTACAATGAAATAAACAATAATCAATGTCATTGTGGGAAAGAACTCATGATTTCGACTTCTTGGAAACCTGCAAATTCTAGAAGGGAGATTCTTGGAAACCGGCGTTGTTGTTGGCGTGATATTAAAGAATGAAGAAGTTAAAATCTCTCTTGTTTAATCTAGGTTTATATTTAGGGTTTTGGCGGCTGATGTGTTTTTTAAGAGGAAATGAAGTGTGTTTCATTTTTGTCCTTGAAATTATGGGCACATGAGGGAGGCGTGTGCTTTTTAGTCAGAGAAATGAGCGAAAACAAGTTTTGGGGTCAATCGGACAGACTTTTTTATATCTGAAGGACTATTGTGGTTGATTTTAAATATGAGGGACTAAAAAAGTTTTTTCTAAAAATGTGAAGGATCAATCTGGCAAATATTTCAGTTTAAATGCAGCTTGTAACTAAATTTTTCTATAAATCCAGATAAAAAACTATATTTTCAGATGAAGTTTCATTCTTAATTCCAATGAATTCAGCTATTAGTTATCCAAACTACAATTACATGCAAGCGCAAAGTACTAAAACCCATGAAAAACAAAGAAAAGGAGCCTGTACAAGTTACCTTTTAAGTGATATGCTACACTGAGGTTCTCTATGAAAGGATAAGCAAGAAGTCTCTCTGAAGAAGCTGTACATATCCAATTAACAGCAGCAGGTTTCTGTGAACTGCTACACCAGTACAGTTATAAATTGAACTTCCCTTAAAGACAACGTCTTCTTCCACCTGGACTGAAGAACTTTGAGGCGTTTCACATAATATGACCAAGAGAGCTACTCAAGGCTCAGCTGCAACACTTTTTACATTCCGTAAACAGAATCAAAAGCAAACCTAAATAATGTTAGTTAAAGTTTAGGGGCCAAAAACCAGTAGGACCAAAAGTTGCAACCAATGTGAAGGTCCTCTTTATCCCCCGTCCGTAAACTTCTTGCTATCAGGACCAATCTTCAGCATCAACATAAGTAGAGAAGGATTTTTCTGTTTTTCAGTAGATGAATCAAGTAAAATGGAAAAAGTAGATGCATCTAGCAAGAAACCTCTACGAACCATTTCTTCATGGTAGACTATTGCATCGTCATAATGGCCTCCTTTAAGGAGTTCTTGCAGAATAACATTGAATGTAACGCTACCTGCCAGGCAACCATTTTCTTCCATTTTCTGAAAAAGCTCTTTAGCTTCCGTGAGCAGGCCTTGTGAAAGCAGGCCAGCAATCATTGTGGTGTATGCTGGGACATCAGGATCCAATCCTTTAACAAAGAGATTGTCAAAAAGATCACGAGCACTATCTAGCCTCCCAAGTTTGCACAAACCATCAAGGATGATACTGTACATGCCTATATGATGATCGATTCCATCAGCTTCCATTGAATGGAATAACTGCAATGCTTCGTCGACATGTCCAGTCTTGCATAATCCATCCAACATCACACAGTAAGTGTAAAAATTAGGCTTTATGCCGGCAGTTCGCATCTCATCAAAAACTTCTCTTGCACTAAGATAGCTTCCTACGCTATATAGCCCCTGCAAGACAGTGGTATAAACAACAATATTAGGTGTTAAACCTTTATGCTGAATCTCACGAAAGATATTCATGGCTGCTTCCACTTTCTTGTGCTTGCAATAGCCATTTATCAGAATACCATAGCTATGGAGGTCAGGAGTAATGCCGCTAGTAATCATGGCATCAAAGGCCCTCCTTGCTTCATCTATTCGCCACTTTAAACAGTATCCATCCATTAAGGAACTGTATGTGACCAGATTGGGATTGTGGCCTTGCCTAATCATGATGCCGACTACCTCTTCAGCCGCTTCGATTTGTCCTTCCTTACACAGTGCGTCCACCACTGTATTAAAAGAAACAACATCTGGAGTAATTTTGTAATCCGTCATCTCAGAAAAGAGCTTTGTAACGTCTTTCCATCTATTTAAATTGCATTGACCACCAATCAAACAATTATAAGTGACAACATCTGGGGGAATGCCCTTTTCAATCATCTCCTGCGAAAGGGCAAGAGCTTCACTGACCATTTTATCTTTGCAAAAGCTGTCAATGATAGTATTGTACACATTAACATTGGGCTTACATCTTCTTCTTTTTTCCATGACTCTTAGGAATTCAACAGCTTTTTGAGTGTTGCCCACCTTACAGAGCCCATCTATCACAATCAGAAACATAACTTCATTAGGCTCGCAAAGCTTTTCAAATATTATCTTCTTAAACAATTCTTGTGCTTGGGGAACCTTATGTTCCCGAAAGAGTCCTTTAAGTAGAGTATTGAAGGTGACTACGTCGGGCAGAATACCACGCTTGAAGAAGACACCCAATACAGAAAACCCCAAATTCACTCGACCCAAGAGACTGTAACAATTAATCACAACATTGAGGGTGCAGTCATTAAAAGGAATGCCCCTGACGTACATATCTCTGAAAACTGAGACAGCAGATGAATAATGCTTCTTCATCTTAATAATGCGGTCCACCAGTCGATTGAAACAAAAGACATAGGGCAGAGGCCTGATCCGGACCATCTGCTGGTATAAGTTCAGAGCATCATCAAGACTGTCAATACTATCAATCCTACCCTTCAACCCAGAAAGAAATTGCAAAACGTTACCAGAAGACGTCCCAATTTGGTGCTGATGATTTCTAATTTTATCACTACTAGTTGCTATAGCTGAACAGAACGCTAATTGGGGTTTAGAGCTTGGGAATGCAGAGAGAAATGAAGCAAGAGTAGTACAATTAGCAGCAGCAGCAGCAGTACCTAATGAAGCCGCTCTTCTCTTCATCGCCACTCCCAACTCAAGTCTGAAATGGACCTGTTTACTGAGATTTCAGGCAAATTGGGAAGCTTTCTGAATACAACGTCGTCGAGTTCGGATTAGGGTTAATCACATTTTATCCCCTTGAAGAATACCCTATTTTTCAGTTTACCCCCTAACCTTTAATTTTTCTCACTTAATTCCCTTTAGGACAAAATTATCTTTGCATTATTTTGACTTTTCATTTACCTTATTTTCCTTTTTTTATTTCTTTTTCTCTTTCTTCTTTATTTAATTCTTCCTCTTTCCCACAAAAATTTTCACCTTAATAATTAAAATAAAAAAAGAGGAATTGCAGAGATTTATCTTCTCCTTAAATGATTAAAAAAATATTCAAATCACTTTCGTAAAATATAATTTTTTTAACCTTTCAATTCTTTTAATTTTGGATTTTTCTTTTTCTTTCTAGTTTCTCATTTTATTTCCAAGAAAATATCTTAAGATGAAATTGTGACCTGATTAATAATTATCAATTGAAATTTGTGACACGTGGCATCATACAAAAAATCAAAATTAGTTTTTGATGCCTTTTAAACCTTCACCCCGAAATATGCAATTAAAAACTCAAAACAAAAATTTTCGTTGAAATGGAATTTCTATTGGGAAGGATGAAAGAGAGAAGAAAGAGAAAAAGAAATAAAAGAAAGCAAAACAATTTCATCTTGTGATATTTTCTTGAGAATAAAATGAGAAACTAAAAAGGAAAGAGAAAAATCCAAAATTAAAAGAATTGAAAGGCTAAAAAAAATTGTATTTTAGAAAAGTGATTTGAATATTTTTTTAATCATTTAAAGAGAAAATAGATCTCTGCAATTCCTTTTTTTTTATTTCAATCATTAAGGTGAAGATTTTTGTGGGAAAGAGGAAGAATTAAATAAAGAAACAAGAGAAAAAAAATAAAAGAAAGGAAAACAAGGTAAATAAAAAGTCAAAATAATACAAGGGCAATTTTGTCCTAAAGGGGATTAAGTGAGCAAAATTAAAGATTAGGGGGTAAACTGAGAAATAGGGTATTTTTTAAGGAAATAAAATGTGATTAACCCTTCGGATTATTAAGACCCGAAACAAAGGGTTTCGGGCTGGGCCCAAACCAAAATTTAACGACCGTTTTGTCTAGGAGTATGGCCATAAATGAATCGAATAATCATTCAATTTTGAAACTATCAAGCACAATTTGGAGTTTTGAACTTGAATTCCAATTCGAGTTTAAAGTTTAAGTTCAAACTAGATTCGATTTAATATTAAGTAGGTTTTAGTTTGATTCAAGTGTTTAAAATTTTATTTATTTTTAATATTTTAATATTGGTTTATCAATAACAAATATATAATATCTATAAAAAAATCATAAATATGTTATTATGTATAAAATATTTATTATAAAAAATAAAATTATAAAAAATTATTCAAGTCAAATTGAGCGTTAACGAGCCGAATGTGTACAAGTTTTTTATTCGATACATTAGTGAAATTCTAGTACTAATTTAAAATCGAGTTCGAACTTGTTCAAAATCGAACTCGATTTGATTCATTAATGATTCGAGCTCGAATGGTTCACTAAGGACTCGATTCGTTTATAGTTCCAAGCGAGATGATGCATGCAGTTCTCAAATCCAAGGACAGCGACCCCACAATAATTTGAATTATTTATTTTAATTTCAAGTTATATTGTTCATTATTACTTTGTTTTTCAACAGCAACATTATATTAGAAAAAGTCGATTTGATTCATACTTTAATGAAATTCTAGTAGTAATTTAAAATCGAGTTCAAATTTGTTCAAAATCGAACTCGATTCGATTATTAATGATTCAAGCTCGAACGGTTCACTAAGGGCTCAATTCGTTTATAGTCCCAAGCGAGAGGATGCATGTAGTTCTCAAACCCAAGGACAGCGGCACCACAATAATTTGAATTATTTATTTTAACTTCAAGTTATATTGCTCGTTTTTACTTTGTTTTTCAACGGCAACATTATATTAGAAAAAGTGCCCAACTAACCCATCGAGGAGCAGGGGCATCGACGGTTGTCAGTAACAACCATTTGGAACGTTGTAAGTATTTTTGAACGGGTTGCACTTCAAATTAAACTATTTGTACATTCTTGCAACAGATATGCAATTATTATGTATAGGACTCATATGATGAACAGTAACAGAATATTGCACATCTGTTGTAAAGATATATGATGTGTTTAATATGAATTACAACTCGTTCAAAAATCTTTACACCATTCCAGACGATTGTCACTAACAACTGTCCGTACCCTCGGTCCACTAATTGGATTAGATGAAAAGAAATCCAAGTCGGATTAGATTGAAAAAAAAGTCCACCTCTAACGTGAGGGTGCACAATTTACTATTAGCTGTTATTTCATAATATCTATTTGTTATCACAATTTGCTATTATCTTTATTTTTAATATATATTTGTTAAGTGTATGCCCCTAATTCAAAAAAAAAGGATTTTATTTTGAAAATTTTATCCATTGTATTTCACTTTATGAGCTTACTTTTATTTTTTCCTTTTTTTTTTATGAAGAACGGTACTTTTTGTAGAATTTAATTAGTAGACATCTTGTACATTGGCAGGCATAGAATTTAATTAGTTGGTGGGATGCACTTAATTTTTACCCCTCGCTCAAGTAGAATTGTGGTCCAATCAGTGCCCAAGACTATTGAATTCTATTTGGCTTTGGAGGATGATATAAGTTGTTGAAAATTAGAATTATACTTTACATACACAGTTATCAATATTTTCACCCAATACTTGTACAATTCATATCTATATGTCAATATAAATTGGGAATACTACTTTGTGATAATGGTCACTCTTCGTAGTTTCTTTTTTCTTTTTGACCCGAAACATGCCCGACTCGAGCCAATTTGGACATGAGCTGCCACACCAAGTCGGGGGATACGCGGAAACCCCTCACGACGCATCCAGGTTAGACAAGAGGTTTAATACTAGGAAAAAATTCAAACCCAGAATTTCATTCAATCCAAGAGCCCGTTTTACCACTAAACTAAACCTTGAGGGCGAAGTGGTTCTAGCATATTAATTTCAAAAAAATAATACTAATAAAAAAACTAATCAATTTGAATTTGAATACCATTATTGCGGCACCTTTACAATTTCGGCCAAAAGTCTTCATAAGAACGCTAGATTGAATTAAATAGAGTAGCAGGGAAAACACCAAGAACTCTAAGAGTTCATTATCCTCTAGTCACTTGACTCCGTAAATATCATCCCATCTTGAAATTCCAAATGAACAACATCTATAAAAATCTGATGAGTGATAACCCAAGTTTGTGGTGTGATGCACTGGTGAAGGACTAACATTTGTCACACCTCAGACCTGGGATTTAAAGGCCGGATTCAGCAATGTGGCACACCATAAAGTGTGAGATCTTACTTCTAAAAGTGCAAGACACCTTGATCTTTGCTTATAAATATCACTACAAATTAAAAATATTAAACTTAAGTATTGTAGTGTAACTACTATAACAATAATAAAATGTAAACCTCAAAATCTAAAATATTTAATTGAGTAGCTTTTGCACAAAATCTACCTTGTATATAAGAAGAGAGGAAACCACCAGCCTTTGGGTTGGTGGCCACCACCAAGTCCTTAGAGTTGGTGAAGTGGGAAGTCAAGGGTTCAAACTAGGGCTGCAAATGAACTGATACGAGTAGTGGCACCACCACTAGATCGTGCCAAGATGCTTGAGAGCTTTTTCAAGGAAATTACAACTATTGGAATACATGATGTTCAAAACTCAATTGGAATACATGAAGTCGTAGAGGGGATGGAGCGCTTGTTATTTGATCTTCATGTTTTTAGTTTCTTTTGTTTTGTTTGATTTTTCTTGTTTAGTTGGTTAGTTAGTCATTATTATGAATAAATATGGCCAGCAATGTGAGCTATTTGAGCCATTCAAAAATAGTTAGGGAAATAAGTGACTAAACACTTATCCAAATTGGATTAGTCTAAGTGACTAAATCCTTATCTAAATTGGATTAGTCTTAGTTGTTTAGTTTTTAGCTACAAATAGGCCCTTCCTATTCCATTGTAAGACACTTATGAGATGAATAAAAATTGAGAGTTTTTTTTCTTTTCTTGTTCCTTGGGAACATCCCTTGATACAAAGTGAGTTATGTCTCATTTGTTTAAGTTTTGGCTTATCAATTCAAGACCACGTTGAATTGTGATGCCATTCTACCAACAAATCTTTGTTCGCTAATTCGTTAGGTTGTGGGTTGAAATTAAATTCAAGATTCACACCTCGGGGGTTAGAGGAGGTCGAGATTTTTCCATCTTTGTATCCATAACCTGGTCAAAATAGATCCCTCCGCTGCCTGATCAACTTGGTTCTTCAAGATAAGTTCTTGTTGGGTCGAGTTCATATCAGTTGGTATTAGGACTGGTGATGACTCGAGCTGCTCAGCTCGAGCAGTTTGTTAAGATAAACGAGGCGAGCTCGAGCCTTCGTTTCTTAGGCTTGATAGCTCGACGAGCCGCTCGTTGGGCTAGAGTAAGTGTAAAATTACAAAAATACCCTTGATTCAATTAAAATTTACATGTTCTCTGCGCACTAAGCTATAATCGATCTTCGGCCACTGTTCGTAAACTTTCCTCCTTCCTTCGCTTAGGTTAACTTGTATGCTCTGCTCACTCCTTCGATTGATCTTCTTCCTCCGCCACCGACTGTCCCAAACTCCCAATTTCCACTTCCGTCACTGCCATTGCTGCTACCGCTAGCTGCATCTTTAGTTTCTCCACTTCCTCCCACTTCAGCCACAGCCATCGGTGCTACTGCTAGCTGCATCTCCACCGCTTCCGCCATCTCCACTTCAGCAACCTCCAAGCCGCGCAAGAATTTGAGTGCGCAACCCACCGCCGGAGACTGACTGACGGACGAGGATCTGGAAGGTGATCCACAGTGCCAAGAATCTGAATGCGCAACCTCCCAATCTGATTGCGCAACCACCACTTCCGCACTTCCGCCAGCTCCGCAACCGCAAGTGCCAGCTCGGC